TCCCTACTCTCATCTCTGGAACCTGGTTGTCTTAGTCCATCCCCTGGAGGAATCTGAATCGGTCAGCCCTGGGAATTCATTGAACATACACTTGCTCAGCATTCTTAGGCATTATTAGAATATGGAAGTTTTAAAAAAAATAAAAATAGATGACTCTCTACATCTGTGAGTTCAACCAACCACAATGGAAAATGTTCTGTTGTAGCTGATGTGTAATATGTAGTCAGGCCTATGATGGTGTGTCTATAACTGACCATGTACAGATTTTATTTTCTTGTCATTATTCTCTAAATGACATAGTATAACAACTATTAGCATAGTATTTACATTATACAAGTAATCTAAAAAGTATTTCAAGTATATGGGAGGTTGAAGGATGCAAGTACTATGCATTTTATGTAAGGGATTTAACATCTTTGGATTTGGATATCCATAGGGTGATAGTGGGGCTTAAGGGATGATTATAAGAAACCACTGTCCTTGGGTATTCTCTAGATTTTGGAAATTAAAGATACCTGTAGAAGTTGTAAATAATAATACTTAATTATGTGGTATGGATATTAAGTGGTTCAGAAATGCTGAGAAGTGGGTCAGAGCCAATGCCATGAAAAACATGAGCTTGACCAGGAGCCTTGACGAAAATCAGATCCTGCTACATCTTTGGGTAGGAAGAGAATACAAACAATAAAACATGTTTTGGCTTCTTTTTGCTTCTAGGATCAAGTTCTATCACTTCAGTAAAGCATACAAGGGTCTTCACATTCTGACTGTAGTCAACTTCTCCAACATCTTTATCCTTCCAAGCCTGCTCTGTCCAGGATTCTTTCAAGACTGCACATACTAGTCCTTCAGCCTAGAAGGCTCTTTTCCCTTCTCTACTTGGCAGCCATGGGTTCTTCCTTCTAAACCATGCATACATCACCACTCTAGGAATTCTTCCCTACCCACAAGGACAGTCTTAGTCCATCTCATTTCTGTGCTCTTTGTGTGAATAATACAGAAAGCACAAATAAGCAAGATTAAAGGTAGGTTAGATTTGGTGTGGTCTAGGAAAGATGAAGACATCTGCGGTTATGGAGAATAATTGATCAAACACTGGCAATAGGAGTGCATATGGGAGTGGCCTGCCTATGGCCTAGTGTGGTCTAATGACCAGAGTAGAGGCTTGAATACGTAAGTAATCAGGACTGTGCCTGGCTCTGGAGAAGGGGACATGGCTTTCCACTTGACAGGCAGGCAGGGAAGGCTCACTTGACATAGAAAGAAGGGAATCCTGGTTCCCTGAGGCCATCTTGGCCATCAGCTTGTGGGATAATCTTCAGGGGAGGAGTCAGTGTCTCCTGTTCTCTGAGAGAGGGTTGGCAAATTGTGTTGCAAGGTCCCATGTAACTCGTAGTTATGTTTTGTCTGGCTATACATAGTTTTAAAATGTTTTGAATTTGAGTGTTTTCACTTAGGACATGTCATCTCTCAGTTGCCATCCTTTCCACAAGCACTGATTGTACCGTAACTGACTCTGTTATGGTTCTTATCTGGCGTCTCCCAGACAGGTAATCTAACCCTTTGTTTTCAGATGTGTTGTAAAATTTCAACAGTATCAGAAAATAACCTTAATTTCTGATGTAAAATATTTAGGTATCCTCTCTTAGTATCCTCTTGGGAGAATTTGAAAAGTATGGCAAACTAGTCAGCTAAAATGTCATACTCAGCTTTCAAGATAGTAGACATGCCTGCTTCGGAGACATATTTGATTTTGAGACAAGGAGTGAATCTGAAGTGTGGCTTGTAGGTTTTCTGTGAACCAAATAGATTTATTTATCAGTCTCATTACTATTTGAAAGGGAGACCTCTTAGTTTCAGACCCAACTTTTAAGCTCTTACGTATGTACAATTTAGTGAAGAAAGCTATTTCTCTTGTGTCTTGGAGTTTAGCTTTAGCCGACATGGCTTTTGACTGAAGAAGGT